ATGGCGAGCAGCAAAGCCTCTCCCTCCCGTCACCACACACCATCTCTCTTCTCCTTCACCCATTTCTACACTCCTGTGATATAATAAAGTAAACTCGATCAATAAATCAATCAATCAGTACTATCACAATGCAGCTAAATACACACCTCTTCCGTCTTAGTAATTCAAATTGTAGCACTTGGAATGACTTCAATCTCTTATTGTGCTCTCGATCAATCTACTAATGTCACCTTTCCCGTGATGTTTCTAGGGTTTCTAGTACTATAAATTTGGGGGATTGCAGATGGAGAGATGTGAGATGAAAGAAATGGAGGTTGAAGTAGTATTAATTTAGGGTATGTTTGGTATTTCTGAAAATATTTTTCAATTTTACTATGTTTGGTTGACTTTTAAAATGTTTTGAAAAATATTTTTAAAAAAAACTCATTTTACTTTGATGGGAATAAAATATTTTCCCTATTTTCAAAACTTCTTCAACCTTATCTACACTACACTCCCACACTTATCCCATCCCACCCCTAACACTCCCTCCCCCAACCTTGCCCTAACACATCCTAAATAGAAATATTATTAAAAATACTTTATTTTCATGTTATAAATAAAATATTTTTTTTTATTTTAACAAAATATATTTTTTTTTCATGATATAAAAATATATTTTATTTCATTTCAACAAAAAAAGAACTTTTTTATGATGTAGAAAAAGTATTTTCTTTCATTTCAACAAAATAATGTAGCAAAAAGTGTCTTCTTTCGTTTAAACAAAAAAATACTTTCTTTTCATGGTATTGAAAAAGTATTTTTTTTATTTCAACAAAATGATATAGTAATTGAAAAAGTATTTTATTTCATTTCAACAAAATAACGTAGTAGAAAATATCTTCTTTTATTTCAATAAAAAAAATTACTTTTTTTTCATGATGTTGAAAAAGTAATTTCTTTCATTTCAACAAAATGATGTAGTAAAACGTATCTTCTTTCATTTCAACAAAAAAAATACTTTCTTTTCATGATGTTTAAAAAGTATTTTCTTTCATTTCAACAAAAAAAATACTTTCTTTTCATGATGTTTAAAAAGTATTTTCTTTCATTTCAACAAAATGATGTAGTAAAACGTATCTTCTATCATTTCAACAAAAAAAGTACTTTCTTTTCATAATGTTTAAAAAGTATTTTCTTTCATTTCAACAAAATGATACAGTAAAAAGTATCGTCTTTCATTTCAACCAAAAAAACACTTTCTTTTTACGATGTAGAAAATGTATTTTCTTTCATTTCAACAAAATGATGTAATAAATGTATTTTCTTTCATTTCAAAAAAATGAGTATTTTCTTTTCATGATGTAAAAAAATATTATTTTTTTTAATTTCAACAAAAGAAATACTTTTTTATGATGTAGAAAAACTATTTTATTTCGTTTCAACAAAATAATATAGTAAAAAGTATTTTTTTTTCATTTTAACAAAATGAGTATTTTCTTTTCATGATGTAGAAAAAGTATTTTCTTTCATTTTAACAAAATGAATACTTTTTTTCAAGTTATAGAAAGAGTACTTTCTTTTTCAACCAAAAAAAGAGTATTTTATTTTTACTTAGTAGAACAAATTTCAACATTATTTTTGAGTGAAAAAGTAAAGCAACACATTTGTGTTAATTTTTAAANCAGAGGAAACATGAGGATTTGTGAGAAGGGGGTAAGGAAAGTAGCATAAAAATTTATTTTTCTAAAAAATATTTTTTACTATCTAAACAAACACTAGAAAATATTTTTCGAAAAAAAATTTCACTCACCAATAAAATATGGAAAAATAAGGGATAAAACTACTAATTTTTCAGAAAAATATTTTCTAGGAAAATATTTTCCTTCGTACCAAACACACCCTTAATTGTGACCTCTTAGTAGGGTATCAATGATAAATTTGATTTTTATTTTTTTATTTTTTTTGGCTAATAAATTTGAAAACTTCTTAATTGAACCGAATCTACTTGAACTGATTATTACTTCTCTCTATTTTTTTAATGAAAGATCAGGCTTTTCCTATACACTTCCAAGGTTTATTTTTTATTTGTGAATGCGATAAAGTGAGATTATAATATCTGGACTATAATACGAGATTAATAATAATTAGATTATTTAGTGAATATATTTAGGTTTTAATTCATACAGGCACGCAGATTGAGGTGCATGTTTGCAAATTTTTTAGGACATACTATAAGTTTATTATAAAATATGTGTTTAGTTTTATCGTAAATAAATTTGAATATACTTTTATGTTCTATATTTAACTTTGGCTTTCTTAAAAGACTATGAGATAAGAGTTTTGGGGGAGAAGTGCACAGTTAGCCACTAATTAGAGATGTCTTTACTTTTTAGCCACTGTTTAAAATGTATTTACTCTTTAGCTAGAGCTTAATAATTTTTTACCTGCCCGGACGAAAATACCCTTGTTCTAGACATGGGTGTTGTGTAAATATTAAGGACATGGTGTCCTTAACTTCATGAATATTGTGTAAATATTAAGGACAAAATATCATGTATTTGCACCTTCCGTTGTTAAATTTTAGGACATCATGTCCTTAACTTCACGTGTGCAGTGTAAATGTTAAGGACATAATGTCCTTAGCTTGTATTTGCACATTTTTGTTGTTAAACTTTAGGACCTCGTGTCCTTAACTTCATTTGTGCAGTGTAAATATTAAGGACACAATGTCATTAACTTTATGAGTGTTGTGTAAATATTAAGGACAATGTGTCATGTATTTGCACCTTCTGTTGTTAAATTTTAGGACATCGTGTCCTTAACTTCAGATGTGCAGTGTAAATGTTAAGGACATGGCGTCCTTAACTTCATGTGTGCAGTGTAAATGTTAAGGACACCATGTCCTTAATATTTACACAACACTCATAAAGTTAATGACATTGTGTCCTTAATATTTACACAACATTCATGAAGTTAAAGACACCATGTCCTTAATATTTACACAACACTCATAAAGAAAGGGTAAAAATATCTTTTTGTATTAATTTTAATAGAGAATTGGCTATTGCTCAGCATTAAAAATACTGGATAAAAACTAAATAACATGTTAAAAAGTTGGTATCCCACACCATTTCTACGAGTTTTGGCTCCCGTTTGGCTATAAAATTTGAAAGCTTTTTTTTTTTAAATTTTGTTTTCAAATGTTTATTTGTTTATAGATTTTAACCATTTTTTTGGCAGATTTTAAAAACAAAATCTTCAAATCCCAAAATAGCTCTAGAGTAGTTTTTGGATTTTTTTACTCACAAAATTTCAAATTTTTTTCAAGTGAAATGCATGTCCAAACACAATTTCAACTTTCAAAAAATATTTTTTATCTCATCTCCAGAAACTCTTTTTTAAGTTTCAAACAAATTTATGTCCAAATACTAGCTTGAAGAAGGGCATCATTATTATTTTAGTATTTTATCATGAGATTGCAAAAATCGAGATTGTTATCTCACATTGTGTGCGGTAAGTATAAATAATTTCTAGATTGTTAATCCTGAAATCAAAAACTCAAGCAATGAATCGAGAGATAAAATAAGCTCGCATTTTATCCAAGGATTATTATCTCATATTCATTCAATCAAACGAGTTCCTAACAATATAGAATAATAAAGCTTATTTAAAGTTTGCTTGTCAATCGAAAAATATACTAAATTCAAGCTAATAAATGCCTTACGTTTGTATAATATAACGTGTATAAAATTAGAATATCAAGCTACTTGAATGATCATATTAATGCACAAAGCCAATAAGAAAGTACTCCTCCACCCCCTCCTCTTATGGATTTATTTTCTTCGCGAGTTAGAGCCTAAGAGCATAAGGATAAGATATTTACATTAAATTACACTTGCGAGATTATAAGATAGTAAAGATTTATTCTTGATGATATTAGTATTGCTCATTTGGTCAACCATATTTTGATATTAGAATTTTTAATATGAATATCATTTACCTAGTAAGATTTTTAGGACTTTATGTGTTATATTAAAGAGTTACTATTTCTATAACAACGAACTGGAAATTAGACACCCAACTTACACGGAAGGAAATAAGGACGGTTTTAAAAAATATAATTTTGATTATATGCATTTAATTAACAAAAAGATTGATATCATTTACTCCTACTAACATAACAGGATGAAACAATCCATCTTACTTATCCTTTTTTTATATGGCAAGCAAAAGATAGTAACTGTCTCATTTAACAGGGTACATGTCTAATAGGAAACTTTTTCTAACGTGAGAGAATATCATGACTTACTATATGCTTTCACCACTTCTGGTAAATTGTGTCAAAAATTACAGACAAATAATCACAAGATAATTTGATTTGTCTCAGCTGCACCATGAAGACAAATTTCAATTTTCACACTGGCCAGGCCTAACTATACAAGATCGAATCATAAAGTGAAACAAAAAATGAGAAGATTAAGGCAATGATTTGTTTTACAATGTAAGACCAACCCCGGTTACATTCATCATTTCATTTTTATTTACAGTAGAAGCATACATTATCTAAGTAGGAGACTGCAGGAGTCGAGAAAAAAGCTTTCTGTTTACCTATCCTCTTGGACAAAAATCTTTCCATTCTTTAAATAAGAAAAGAAACAATAGCAAGAATACATCCTGCAGCAGGCTCAACCCTTGGACAATCCAAAATGGTTAATGGTTTATTTCCAGCCCATCCTTCACAACCAACTTTTAATGGATTACTGAAATGTTCTTCTCCAGTACTGCAATTGAAGTTAATCCATAGCAGCACATATAATCTAATAAAGTCTCAATTTCAACTCAGAAAGCAATGATTATTAAACAGAGAGCAGGCACACTTCATAAAATGCTGTTTCCTGTTGTGACGAGACAAAAGTAATTAAATTGTGGATTGTCCAATAGCAATATCACATCTGCAAGTAGGTATCACTAGCCTAAAACTTCCAAACGATAAACAAGATAATACCATACTCCGCATACCTTGTGTTTCATTTGAAGTCTCTGAAGACTAACCTCACTCTCCACAACCTCTCGTTTCTTCTCCTCTCTCTGCATATAATCACGTCAAAGGAGTTGAAAATGCTAATTGAGTGATCAGATAGACTGACTTTCTATAGGTCTGTAATTTCTTCATTTTGTGGTAACCAGCTTACAACTATAAAAGAACATGCTCTCCATGTCTTCACATTGCAATTGTTTTTTTTTCACATTGCAATAGTTTTTTTTAAGTCTTTGACATTGCAATAGCTAAGAAAGACAAACCTTGATGAGAGCCTCAAGAATGGTCTTTGCTTGGTCAAGGTTGCGCCTAACCTGAAGAATTTTGAGTCATATAAGATACTTTACATTACAATTCAATCTGAAAAAGAAGTTGACACAATATCTGTTCATCTGTAGACAGCAGACCCCTGCACTAGAAACAATATCTGTTCATCTGTAGACAGCAGAGCCCATGCACTAGATGCAGTTTATCCCTCTTACCACTTATATGGGAGGCGTACTAGAGGAAATCATGTAGGGCAACAGCTTTTGTTTCCTAGTTCGTTATTTTTATATCCCAGACAATCATTTTTGAGAGAATTTATATCAAATAAGCAATGACACCAAGTGAGGCCACCAAGAACATTGGCAAGAATGACCTACAATGTGCAACTTAAAATCTCACCATCTTAAAAAGATGTTCAAATCCATTACTGAAAACAGGGAGGTTGAAACGCAAACAGTTTGATTATCTGGCTTGGTGTTGCAATGCCATGTTCAAACCATGCAGAAGTTGAAGATAGATTGGACTACTAAAGTACAGAATGAACGAAATGAGGGTGATAAAGAAAGGTCAGCTGGTTGTGCAAAAAGTTTATAATATGTGTTGCCAACAGACTAAGAAAGACGCTGAGCAAGATCGTGATAAAAGAGTGGCCTGGGCCAATAAGCAGGGCAAGGACACGATAAAACAACCACAAATGAAAGCCCTGTTTGGTAATTTTTTTTTTTGGGTTTCTAGTTGTCAGAATACACACAAGAAATGAATTAAGAACTCTATCTGTAATTGGAAGCTCACCTGGCGAAGCTTTTCAAATGACTGCACATTGTTTTCCCTCCTTTGCATCTATGACAGAAAAAGGGAAGAAAATAAAATACATCATACAAATCATCAAGGCCGATGATTTTAAAAAGAAGATTAGGTCAAAGTAACCAGAGTCGCATACCCTCCTTGTGTGAAGCCTGTGAGCCTTCTCCCTTGGCCTAAATACATTATATGGATTGGTATCACTAACAGGTGGAGGAGGCTGCAAGAATGAAGGTTGAAAAGGCAGTCAGAATGTAATCACTTGTAACTGATGGAGTCACAAAATGGAACACCAACTTTAAATACCATTATTCTCTAACGAAGGTGCATATATGAAAATCCACCAAAACGAAATAAAGAAAAGGAATGTGAAATCTTTTCATTAGGAATGATATCACCGGTCACATGTTAAATAAAGTTGGTGCAATTAGGAGTGCGGATGCAGCAATATTTCATGTGAGAATTGTTACACGAAAATATTGACCAAATGAGAAAACAGATGCAAGAATATGTGATTGATTGAGAATATGTCAGCAATCATATAAACAATACCTTCAGTTGAAATGGGAAAAACAGGAGATCACAATGAAAAATGAACAGCGAGCACGGTGAGCAATTTGCTAGCTTGTATACAAAAGATATAAGCCCATAATCTTATCTCACCTATTTACCAGCCGAAGACTCCAAAATTGCAACAACTATAGGGGTACCAAGTTGTTAAGCCACACGATGAAAGTTTGAGAGAGAGTGATAGAAGGGAGGATGAGGAGGAGCGTGTCCATTTCTGAGAACCAATTTGGTTTCATGCCGGGGCAGTCGACTACTGAAGCCATACACCTTGTGAGGAGATTGGTGGAACAGTGTAGGGCGACGAAGAAGGACTTGCATGTGGTGTTCATTGACTTAGAGAAAGCTTATGATAAAGTCCCAAGAGAGGTTCTATGGAGATGTTTGGAGGCTAAAGGAGTGCCTGTAGCATATATTAGAGTGATCCAGGATATGTATGATGATACTAAGATACGGGTTAGGACAGCAGGAGGAGACTCTGACTACTTCCCCGTTGAGATGGAGTTGCATCAGGGATCAACACTTAGCCCGTTTTTATTTTCCTTGGCAATGGACGCATTGATGCAACGCATTCAAGGGGAGGTGCATTGGTGCATGTTATTTGCAGATGACATAGTCCTAATTGATGAGACGCGAGGTGGTGTTAACGAGAGGCTGAAGGTCTGGAGACATACCCTTGAGTCTAAGGATTTCAAGTTGAGCAGGACCAAGACAGAATACTTGAAGTGCAAGTTCAGCGATATTACCCAGGAAGCGGACGGAGATGTGAGGCTTGATACGCAAGTCATTCCCAGGAGAGAAAGTTTCAAGTACCTTAGGTCTATAATTTAGAATGATGAGGAGATTGACGAGGATGTCACACATCGTATCGGAGCAGGATGGATGAAGTGGAGGCTCGCTTCTGATGTCTTGTGCGATAAGAATGTGCCGTTGAGACTTAAAGGTAAGTTCTACAAGGTAGTAGTTAGACTGACTATGTTGTATAAGGCAGAGTACTGGGCCCATATCCAACAAATGAAAGTAACTGAAATAAGTATGTTGAGATGAATGTACGGGCATACTAGGTTAGATAGAATTAAGAACGAAGTTATTCGGGACAAGGTGAGAGTGGCCCCTGTGGAGGAAAAGATGCGAGATGCGAGACTTAGATGGTTCGGGCATGTTAAAAGGAGAAGCACAAATGGCCCAATCAGGAGGTGTGACAGGTTAGCCTTGGGAAGTAAGAGGAAGGACAGAGGTAGGCCAAAGAAGTTTTTGGGAGAGGTGATCAGACAGGACATGGCACAGCTTGAGCTGACCGAGGACATGACCCTTGATAGGAGGGTGTGGGGGTTAAGGATTAGGGTAGAAGGTTAGTGGGTAGCCGAGCATTTCTCTTTGTCTTCATTAGTTCAATAGTATTAGTGTCAGTATGGTACCCATTTTTCCTTAATTTGCTATTATCGCATATCTTGTACTGTTATTACTTGCTACTAGTACTCCCTTAGTTTGCTATCACTACATACCTTGTATTGTTGTTACTTGCTATCAATACTTCTTTCATAGTCTCTATTGCTATCTTGGTTTTAGTTTTCTAAATATATTGTCTTGCTATTACTTGCTATCAGTGCTTCTTCCGTCTTTTATTTAGCCGAGGGTCTATCGGAAACAGTCTCTTTGCCCTTCCAGAGTAGGAGTAAGGCTGCGTACATCCTACTCTCCCCAAAAGATCACTTGTGGGATTACACTAGGTAGTTGTTGTCGTTGTATTTACCAACCGAAGACACGACCCAAGAAGTCTCATTATCATTATATGACCACCGAATCACAATACTATATAAGGCTGAAGAGATATTTAAAAAACCAACAGTGGAAAGTGGGGCAGATCATTTATTAACATAAATTCAAAAATGGGATCTTTGACTTTACGAGGCTAACTATCTCAAGATATCTCTCTTTTTTTCTTGATGAGTTGGTACGAAGATTAAAATTCAAATGATAAAACCATCAGAGAAATTTCGGGGAGGAGAACAGTATCCCTGAATTTTTTCTACAGTACAAACTGATGAGATTATTGAAGGCAAAGACAATTGCTTGACAGACCATATCCAGTATTACGCATAACGCCAATGCAATTACTTATATCTGGACTACAAATACAAAAATTAAAACCTGATCTGCAAACGCCGAAGAATAGGCTTCTGCCACCGTTCCCGCTGATAGACAAGAAATGCAAATTCCCAAGAAAAAAAAGATGTGTGAGAATTCATCTTTAATATACCAATTTACTAAGATTCCACCAATGCAGATAATAAGGAAAATATAATAACACCCATTGATCAAGCATTTGAAGCCCTTTGCATTTTGGTACATAACTGAATAATCATTGAGATATCAAGAAACATATCAATAAAAGAGCTCTTATCGTGCATATAAAGTCCACCATATTTAAAATTGAATAGGAAGTTCAAAAAAAATAAGTCATATAACCACACATAAAAAAGATTTTGTAGATGTTTGAACAACACAACTTGTTAGAACTCTATATATCTAGTAAATTAGGTCTTTATCTATCATATCCATTCACAACTATTTAAGATACATAATTTCAGCCATCCCAAATGATCCAAACTTAAATTTTTGTTCATAAAGGATTACATTAGAGCCTATTGCATACAATTGATCTGAAGTTTAACCGGACAGATTCATCTGTAGACTTACTGATTACAATGGCCACAAATGATATTACTAATATAAGAATAAGTGGAGAGGAACTTCATAGATATTTCTTGTATGCATACACATATCTTCAATACCAACTTCGATAATCTCTCAAATATTTACTTTGTCTTTGTTAGTTTACAGTTATGTACATGTATAGTCTTGTCCCACATTGGAATAGGAGTAGTATATCCTTGTATAGTATAACTATAAATAAAGACCTCTTGTATTGTATTGAATATCCAATATCAATAACATATTTTCTCCCGTACAATCTCACATGGTATCAGAGCAATTGTGAGAGATTTATCGTTGTGATTGAATATCCAATATCAATAACATATTTTCTCCCGTACTTTCTCACATGATATCAGAGCAATTGTGAGAGATTTATCGCTGTACATAAATTCCAGCGATTCAGGGAAGAGAAATCAGTCACCAGAAGTCTTTTTCTGGCGACCCTTTTAAGACTGTTTTGCGTCTGCTTCGTCTCCGTCAGTGTTGTGTAAAATCCAACACTACCACAAGAGTCATCACTATCCGGTGACCAAACCTCAGTGAAAATCTCCGGCAACAGCCTTCCCACTCACCACCAGAAGCTCACGTGTGTGAGCTCACATGTGTGAGCTCACGCGCCGGCACGTACCACCACTTCCGGCCATTTTTTAAAAAACTTTCTTCAGAACAGTTGGGTCGCCTGGTAATTCCGATCCTACCCCTACTATTTTTATTTCATTCCGACCACTTTAAATTTTTTTCCGGTAGCTACAGCAAGATTCCGATAGCTACAATAAGATTCTGGCAGCTACAGTATTTTCTTATTTTGTTTCTGTGTTTCCTTACTCTGTTTCAGTGGATTATAATTGATTCTTTCTCTTATTTGGTAATAATTTGCAACCATGTCTTTGGGATTTGATATTTTTGGGTCTAAAAATATGGGTTCTGGAAGCTCTAGTGTTACGATTACCTCGGAACCCTTAATAGGAAGTTCAAACTACTTAGCTTGGGATTCATCTGTCGAGTTGTGGTGTAAAGGTCAAGGTTTTCAAGATCATCTAATCAAATAGTCTAGCGAAGGAGATGAAAAGGCGATAGCACTTTGGGCAAAGATCGATGCTCAATTATATAGTATCTTGTGGCGTTCTATTGATTCCAAGTTTATGCCTTTGTTTCGTCCATTCCATACATGTTATTTGGTTTGGGCAAAGGCTCATACCTTATACACTAATGACATATCTCGCTTCTATGATGTGATATCACGGATGGCAAACTTAAAGAAGTAGGAATTAGATATGTTTACTTACTTGGGTCAAGTACAAGCAGTCATGGAGGAATCTGAGAAGTTGATGCCAGTCTCTGCTAGTGTGAAAAAACAACAAGAGCAGCGACAAAAGATGTTTCTAGTTCTTACCCTCTCTAGACTTCCTTATGATCTTGATTCAGTACGAGATCAAATTTTGGCTAGTCCGACTGTCCCCACAATTGATGAATTATTCTCTCGATTACTCCGCCTTACTGCAGCACCGAGTCACCCAGTGATCTTATCATAGAAACTTGATTCCTCTATTCTCGCATCCTAGACAGTGGATGTTCGGGTGTCTCAAACTATGGAGAATAGACGAGGAGGAGGTCATTTTGGGAGATCTATACCCAAGTGTTCTTATTGTCATAAACTTGGACACACTCGTGAAATGTGGTATTCCTTACATGGTCGTCCACCCAAAAATGCTTATGTTTCTCAGACCGAGACTACAGATAACCGGGGTTTTTCTGTATCTAAAGAAGAATATAATGAGCTCCTTCAGTATCGAGCAAGTAAGTAGACATCTCCACAAGTAGCCTCGGTTGCCCAGACTGGTACTTCTGCTGCTGGTAATTCTTTTGCTTGTGTTTCCCAGTCTAGTACTCTTGGACCATGGGTCATGGACTTAGGCGCTTCTGATCACATCTCTAGTAATA